ACAGATGAGTATAGACCTCCCCTCAGCAGAGAAGGAAACTCTTACTACTCCACAGCTGAAGATGTCCACTCGCTTTGTCAGCTGCCCCACTTTGATGAAATCTTCCGGCAGGTATGCAGCCGAGGCCTGGAACAGACAGGTCTTCATCCTGGTGTACTGTGACCTTTTACTGTCAGGACACAGCGGAGCCTTTGGGTGAGCCAGCATGGGGGTGAAGTTTTGATCCAGCAAAACATTGGAGCTGTGGGAAAGAAAGCAGAGAGAACCCTCTCATGTGGGGCTGGACAAGAAGCGGTTGCCATGGAGACGCTTTTGGGGAAGCAACTTAGCCATGAGCAGCATCCACTGCAGCAAGTTAGCGTCCCTGAAGACCCTCACCATGGAGTTTCTGAGAGAGGAGCCTACTCCGTCAAGAAGATGGAGCTAAGATTAACCCTGCTGCCCTGAGGATGGCACTCAGTGAGGTCAAAGAGGTGCAGCCTGAATGATCCCCACAGATGCCCACCCCATCACCCTCCGCTGGCCACGCCCATACAGGCCGCGTTGGCTCAGTAACCTTTGAGGCTTCTCCAACCCCCAGCTCCGGCCCGGCTGACGCAAGTCTAAATGCCAGCATCCTTCGTGACTGAACCTGTCCAGATTGTAGGAAATCAGAGCAATAAAAATATTCCTGAACCTAGTCGTCTACTAGTAAACCATGGGAGGGAACTCTCAGAAAGTACTCCAAAGGGGACAAAAAAAACTCAGCTGTATGTGTACAGATATTCAATGCAGAACTAACCCTCTAATGGTTTTTTAAAGTAGACACCAATTCTAAAGTCTACTATTGAGAGTGGGTAAGTAAATTATGGGCAATCCGTGCAATGGGAGCCTAAGAAGTCACTGAAAATAATGACCCGCCATGTGGGAAAATGTTCATCATATTTATTATAAGTGAAGCAGGGCAAGAGAAACGGTAACCAGGTAACTGGGCTACCGTAGGGCCAAGACTTCTGTGTGGGGAGGGGCTGAGAAAAGAAACAGAGAAATGGGGCCCACGGATGAGTCAGAGTGGTGAGCCAGGACGACCCCAGTCCTTCCGCTTCCTTTCTGTGCAACCAAATAAGAATCAATGGGGAGGGACCAAAAAAACGGGCTTCCCTCGGTCATCTGGAGAGAGGGCTTTTGGGGAAGCGTGGGTTCTATGGTTTCAAGCTCAATTTTGCCGAATTCTCTGTTATCTTCTGGGATCTCTTCCCGTGTTGCCCGTCCCCAAATGGGGAACTCTGGCTCTTGGATGGTTGGGACTGTGACAGCTGGCGTGTACTCTAACCTGCAGGAAGCCCCCCTCCCCCACCTAACACGAGTTATGTTCACTCTCAGGTACACAAGCGGGCGAGGTGGGTCTCCGAGAAGACCCCAAGCACAGAGCTCAAAATCCCAGGGGACTTGCCAGATAGGACCCAAACCTCAAGGACCCGGTGCAGACCAGCTGGCTGGGTGGAAAGTAAACTCCAGCAGGGTGCTTGCTAGGAAAACACCCGCTGAGAAAGACAAGCGTGGTGACAGGTAGGCGGTTTGTGCTGACAGCAATCAGAAACACTGCTTTTTGAGGATGTGACAAAGAAAGGAAGACCCAAAGGAGGTGAGGTGGGGGGAGAAAGGCAAAGAGAAGAGAGACAGAGGGAGAGGAAGGGGACCCTGGAATGAGGTACTGTCTCGTCCCTGCAGCCAGGGCCCGTGGCAGGGTCCAGCCCTCCTCCTTCACCTCTTTTTTTTTTTTTTTTTTTAGTTTTAATTTTTAAAAAATATATATTTTATTGATTTTTTACAGAGAGGAAGAGAGAGGGATAGAGAGTGAGAAACACCCATCAGCTGCCTCTTGCAAACCCCCTACTGGGGATGTGCCCACAACCCAGGTACATGCCCTTGACCGGAATCGAACCTGGGACCTTTCAGTCCACAGGCCGGCGCTCTACCCATTGAGCCTAACCGGTTTCGCCACCTCCCTCACCTCTTGATGTTGCTGTGGATGATGTCCAGGCTGTGCAGGTGCTCCACGGCGCGAAGCAGCCCTGAGACGATGCTGACGCGCTGGGGCCAGAGGAGGGGGTCTGAGCCGCCCTACGAGAAAGAAAGGGGGTGAAACAGTGACACCCGTCCCCTTTAAAGTCCCAACGGCAGGGTCCTGGGCTCCTGTCTCTCCTCCAGCCCTTCCCGTCCTCCGCAACAGGGCTCAACCCCCATGGGTTACTGGCAGGGTACCGGTCCTGGTATCTGACAGGTCTAGGCGGTGGAGGTCCCAGCTCAGACATGCACTAGCTCTGTGACCTTGGAAAAGACACAACCTCTGCGAGCCTCGCTTTCTTCAGGTGAAAACGGAGCTGTTAATCCCTATGCTGCAGGATTGTGGTGAGGGTTCAAAGAAGTGTACGGCATGTCCCTCCTATAGAGTCTGCCACACGGTGGGTGCTCAACACACAGCAGCTACTTTTTTCATGACTATCACAGGGGCAGCTCTGGAACTTTCCTCTAGGAGGGGCTGGCTGGGAGGGGAGCTAGGGAGCTTGTGTTGGCACACCAGGCCCTGGACCTTATGCCCATTGTGGTGTGTGTGTGTGTGTGTGTGTGTGTGTGTGTGTGTATTTGGGGAGACTTCACAAGGGATGGTGGACATTGTGGGGTGGGCTAACGTCTGCTCCCTTTCCTCAGAATTGATCCACAACTCTTCCGTCTGTGGGCTGACGCTCTAACCACTGAGCAAAACCAGCTAGGGCTAAAGCTGAAATTTTAATAAATATTTATTTTGAAATAAAATTTTGCATCCACTTTTCAATACTTTGAATCTTTTTTAAAAAATATATTTTATTGATTTTTTATTTATTTATTTTTTTTTTTTAGAGAGGAAGGGAGAGGGATAGAGAGTTAGAAACATCAATGAGAGAGAAACATCGACCAGCTGCCTCTTGCACAGTCCCTACTGGGTATGTGCCTGCAACCAAGGTACATGCCCTTGACCAGAATTGAACCTGGGACCCTTAACTCTGCAGGCCAACGCTTTATCCACTGAGCCAAATCAATCAGGGCTGCATCTTTTTTTAATTGTCTAAAGTTTTACATTTGTCTTCTTTTTTCCCGATTAACTTCCATCCCCCAGCCATTCCCACCCCAGGTTGCCTCAGTGCCTGCATCCATTGGATATGCTAATATGCATGCATGCAAGTCCTTTGGTTGCTCTCTAACCACCCCCCCTACCATTTATCTCTAGATCTATTCTTTTTTTTTAATATATTTTATTATTTTTTACAGAGAGGAAGAGAGAGGGATAGAGAGCTAGAAACACCGATGAGAAAGAATCATCGATCAGCTGCCTGTTGCACACCCCCCACCGGGGTTTTACCTGCAACCAAGGTACATGCCCTTCGCCGAAATCAAACCCGGGACCTTCCAGTCCACAGGCTGATGCTCTATCCACTGAGCCAAACCGGTTTCAGCTCTAGATCTATTCTTTTTTTTTTTTTTTTTTTTATCAATCTTTATTGTTCATATTATTACAAAGGTTCCTCATTTCTTCCCCCCTCCACCAGGTTCCCACCCCACCCTCCATCCCCCCCCATCCCCCATTGTCCTCATCCATAGGTGCAGTTTATGTTCAGTCTCTTCTTCCCTCAATTTCCCCAATAGTAAATCCCTTTTCAGATAGTAAATCAGTTACTTAGCATTTTCTCATATCAATAATACCTCCACATGCCCAATGATACACTTCACACAAAAGACATTTCCCACTAGGTCAACCAGCCTCATCCAGGCCCCACCCAAGGCACTCACAGATCAACACCCCAGTCCTAAACTAACTCAACACATCCAGATCTAAGCCTTCATCACTTGATTCAGCAGACCCTCAAGTTCCCACGAAAGTTTCCAGCCATGTCTGAGAAGCAGCCGTGGGGCAGGGACCGGCAAGGAGCGAGCTGTTCTGGGCCTGGCTGCTCAGGGCCTGGCCTCTGTTGCTCTGGTTCATTCCACAACCAGCTGCTCCGGGTCTGGTCACTGCCGCTCCCGACCTAGTTGCTCTGGACTTGGCTGCTGCTGCTCCAGGCCTGGCCACTCCCAGCCTGGCAGCCGCTGCTCCGGGCCTGGCCGCACCAGCCCCGCCTGCTCCCCCGGGCCTGGCCGCTCCCAGCCTGGCAGCCGCTGCTCCGGGCCTGGCCGCACCAGCCCCGCCTGCTCCCCCGGGCCTGGCCTCTCCCAGCCTGGCAGCCGCTGCTCCGGGCCTGGCCGCACCCGACCCGCCTGCTCCCCCGGGCCTGGCCGCTCCCAGCCTGGCAGCCGCTGCTCCGGGCCTGGCCGCACCAGCCCCGCCTGCTCCCCCGGGCCTGGCCGCTCCCAGCCTGGCAGCCGCTGCTCCGGGCCTGGCCGCACCCGACCCGCCTGCTCCCCCGGGCCTGGCCGCTCCCAGCCTGGCAGCCGCTGCTCCGGGCCTGGCCGCACCCGACCCGGCTGCTCCCCCGGGCCTGGCCGCTCCCAGCCTGGCAGCCGCTGCTCCGGGCCTGGCCGCACCCGACCCGGCTGCTCCCCCGGGCCTGGCCGCTCCCAGCCTGGCAGCCGCTGCTCCGGGCCTGGCCGCACCCGACCCGCCTGCTCCCCCGGGCCTGGCCGCTCCCAGCCTGGCAGCCGCTGCTCCGGGCCTGGCCGCACCAGCCCCGCCTGCTCCCCCGGGCCTGGCCGCTCCCAGCCTGGCAGCCGCTGCTCCGGGCCTGGCCGCACCCGACCCGCCTGCTCCCCCGGGCCTGGCCGCTCCCAGCCTGGCAGCCGCTGCTCCGGGCCTGGCCGCACCAGCCCCGCCTGCTCCCCCGGGCCTGGCCGCTCCCAGCCTGGCAGCCGCTGCTCCGGGCCTGGCCGCACCCGACCCGGCTGCTCCCCCGGGCCTGCCCGCTCCCAGCCTGGAAGCCGCTGCTCCGGGCCTGGCCGCACCCGACCCGCCTGCTCCCCCGGGCCTGGCCGCTCCCAGCCTGGCAGCCGCTGCTCCGGGCCTGGCCGCACCCGACCCGGCTGCTCCCCCGGGCCTGGCCGCTCCCAGCCTGGCAGCCGCTGCTCCGGGCCTGGCCGCACCCGACCCGCCTGCTCCCCCGGGCCTGGCCGCTCCCAGCCTGGCAGCCGCTGCTCCGGGCCTGGCCGCACCAGCCCCGCCTGCTCCCCCGGGCCTGGCCGCTCCCAGCCTGGCAGCCGCTGCTCCGGGCCTGGCCGCACCCGACCCGCCTGCTCCCCCGGGCCTGGCCGCTCCCAGCCTGGCAGCCGCTGCTCCGGGCCTGGCCGCACCAGCCCCGCCTGCTCCCCCGGGCCTGGCCGCTCCCAGCCTGGCAGCCGCTGCTCCGGGCCTGGCCGCACCCGACCCGCCTGCTCCCCCGGGCCTGGCCGCTCCCAGCCTGGCAGCCGCTGCTCCGGGCCTGGCCGCACCCGACCCGCCTGCTCCCCCGGGCCTGGCCGCTCCCAGCCTGGCAGCCGCTGCTCCGGGCCTGGCCGCACCCGCCCCGCCTGCTCCCCCGGGCCTGGCCGTTCCCAGCCTGGCAGCCGCTGCTCCGGGCCTGGCCGCACCCGACCCGCCTTCTCCCCCGGGCCTGGCCGCTCCCAGCCTGGCAGCTGCTGCTCCGGGCCTGGCCGCACCTGACCCGGCTGCTCTGGGCCCGGCTGCCCCGGGCCCGGCTGCTCCGAGCCTGGCCACTCCCGACCTGGATGCTCTGGGCTTGGCTACTGCTGTTCTGGGTCTGGCTGCTCCCACCCCGGCTGCTCTGGGCCCAGCTTCTTCGGGCCCGGCCACTCCGGGTCTGGGTGTTCCTGGACTGGCCACCCTGGGCTTGGCCGCCTCCGCCTCATGCCTGGCTGCCACTGCCCCAGGTCTGGCTGCTCCAGTGCTGGCTGTTGATGCTCTGGTTCTGGCTGCTGTTGTTCTGAGGCCTGGCCGTTGCTGCTCCGGGTCTGGCTGCCACTGCCTTGTGCCTGGCCACTCTAGGCCTGGCCGCCGCTGTTCCAACATTCTGTCCTTTTTTTTTTCTTTTTTCTTTTTAAAACGCATTTATGTTGCAACGTTGGCTGGTGAGTTGAGTTCTGACTTAGTCTTTGATTTTTCAAGATCTTCTTTGTATTCTTTCTTAAGTAATTTTACTATTTTTTGCTCTCACTTGATTTCTTCACATTGAGAACTTCTTTGGTTTCTTCCTCCTTGTCCTGGAAGCTCAGCAGGTTGGCCTGTGGCACCCCTTTGTTCTCCGTGGGCTCCTGCGCTGCTTCAGCCTGTTGCCGGGATGGCGCCGCCCAGGAAGCAGCCCCAGGCCTTGGCTCCATTGCCCGAGCTCAGTGGTCAAAGGCTCAGGGGCACCCACGCCCCCAGGGGCCCCGTGGCCTGCCTCCTTGCTGGTGCCCGGTTGGCTGGAGTCCGGCAGGGGCTTCCGCTCCCCTCCACGTTCCCCCAGCCTAGAGCTTTTTTTTTCTCCTTCCCGCTAGGGAAGTCCAGCATCAGTGTCAACAGACTGTCCTCTGCGCGCAGTTTGCGCGAGTCCCACAGACTGTCCTCTGCGTGCAGTTTGCGAGAGTCCCGGGGGCCCGGCCTTTCGCCGCTCTCCCCGGACTCCACCTCACAGCCCCGTCTCCCTCTGCCTGAGCCTGGGTCCCCAGGGATTGGCCCAGAACTGGGGTTCGGAGCAGTCCGGACTGAGGCTCAGTGCCGCCGGAGGCCTTGTTTCTTCCGGCTAGGGCAACCCAGCATCAGAGTCAACATTCAGTCCTCTGCGCGCATTGCGCGCGACTCCCGGGGCCCTGCCTTTCGCCGTTTTTCCGCCTCACGGCCCCGTCTCCTCCCGCCGGAGCCTGGGTCCCCAGGGTCTGGCCCATAACTGGGGCTCAGCGCTGCCGGTTCGGGGGGGGGGGGCTCAGCGATGCCGGTTCGGGGGTTCAGCCCAGGCTGGAGGTTTTATTTCCTTCCTGCTAGGGAAGGAAAGGCGGCTCCCCGCCCTCTCCTCCTCTCCGGCTGCGACCTCTCCGTGCGCGCGTGCGGGCGGGCAGGCGCGCGCAGCATGTCTCCGTACCTTAGGCTTTTTTTCAGCTCCTCTGATTTTCTTTCTGGTTTTCTCTTTCCTTCTTGTTGTAGAAATTTCAGTCAGTCGACTACCTGTAGCTCTGGGCAATGTCCACTCTACATTTTAGTTGTATTCCATTGAAATTGTTGTGTGCTGCCGCGGCTAGATGTCTATCCGAGCAGCCATCTTGGATCCTCTTCCCCTCTTTTTTCTAACTCTCTAGATCTATTCTTGTTCAAATTATGTTGATCATTATATCCCACATATGAGGGATATCATGTGATATTTATCTTTCTCCAACTGGCTTATTTCGCTTAGCAGAATGCAGTTCCATCTATGCTGTTGCAAATGGTAAAAGTCCCTTCTTTTTTATAGCAGCATAGTATTCCATTGTGTAGAAGTACCACAGTTTTTACTTTGTATCTTTTAATTATTTTTCTCGTCCTATTGCATTGGCTATCATGTCCAGAACATTGTTGGACAAATTTAGTGCTATGGGATATTTTATCTTAAACGAAATGCCTGATGCCAAACAACATTTTTATAGGGTTTTACCTGAAGATGCTTAGGCAGATCTTATATATCTCGGACTAACTTCTCTTGAAAGGCCCCCCTCTCTCTCTGGACTCTTATATGTCTTTAACCATTGATTCTCTAACTGGGTGCTGCCTGGTCCCTGCCTTCTGACCGTGGCCCAGCCTCTTACCTGGCACCGGAGCCTGTCCTGTAAAGAACCATTTGCCATGTAGGGGTAGATCAAGCTGTAAAACTGATTTCCAGTGCAGACGCCCAGCAGAGGTAAGACATTGGGGTGGCAGCATCTGAAATCGGGTATTAGTGCAGAGGTGAGGCGTCAGACAGAAAGAATAATCCAAGACTGCTCCGTTCCTCACCTCCCATACCTCCTATGCCCTCCCCACTGCCCTGAGGGCCCAATACCAGGGGAGGAAGATGAAAACTGGCGTTCCTTCAAGGAGCTGCCTCCCTGCTCTGCGGCATGTGACACCTTAACCACCCCGTCTTCGGGAAGCGGAGGCTTAGAGACTAAGGAACTTGCCAAGGTTATAGCTAGCAAGCAGGGAAGCCAGGGTGAGACTGCAAGTCTGTTTGAACCCCAGGGCTGGAGTTCTTCCCCAAAATCCTCTTCCGCTAACTCTGTCACCCATTCCTTCTGACTCCTCCTGCCCTCTTAACCACTCCTTCCTAGCCGTTTTCCCTAAGACCCTCCTCTTTCACCTCCCTCGGAAACCTGAGTCTCCCAGGCAGGGCTCATCATTTTGTATTATAAGCTGTTTCTCTAGGTATTTCCCGCCTCTCTGAGGAACGCTCCCAAATCGCGAATTTCCATGCTCTAGGAGGTGAACAATCTAAACTCGTCAAGTTCCAAACCTGCGTCTCCACCCACAGTTATGATCGCAGCAAAGGACACCACCATCCATCCAATTTCCTAGAAACCCTCTTACCGCCCCCACCTAATTATTATGGGCACTGAAATCTGAATTTTTTAATTTATGTCATGAAATAGTCTTTTTATTTTTATTTTTTCCAAACCATTCTTAGCTCTCGGGTCATACAACACAGGCAGGGCCAGATTTAGCTTATGGGTCATCATTTGCCAGGTCCTGCTCTCGATCTGGATTTTAAGATGGATTCACTCTTAGAATTGGAACCAGGAAGTCCCTGCCAATCTCAAAAAAATGAGATAGGTCCGGCCGGTGTGATTCAGTGGTTGAGCGTCTACCTGTGAACCAGGAAGACACAGCTCAATTCCTGGCTGGGGTTGCAAGCTCGATCCCCAGTAGGGAGCGTGCATGAGGCAGTGATTGATGATTCTCTCTCATCCTTGATGCTTTTATCTCTCTATCCCTCTACCTTCCTCTCTGAAATTAATTTTAAAAAAACAACTTTTTTTTTTTTTAAGTGAGATAAAAATAGATTTCTCTCCCCCAGGATGAAAGGAGTTGGGCCAGGTCGAGCCAGGTTTCTTTAATAGTTCTATTCTACACATACAGTTGTTAAACAGAAAAAGCATGGACTATGGTGCCAGAGCAACCTGGGTTCAAATTCTGGCTCTGTCACCCCCTTGCTGTGTGATCTTGAACAAGACACTTAACCTCTTTGCGCCTCAACCTGCCCGCGTGTAAAATGCTGTGCTAATAGCAGCTTCGCTACAGGGTTCTGGTGAGGATAAAATGAGTTTGTACACACGGAGTGCCTGCCACGTAGGAAGCACTATGTAAGGGTTAGCTGTCATCATTATTAAACAAAGCTTAAGCATTTTCCATAGAGGAGGCTTACCTGTGACAGATTCGTATCTCTGCTTGGAAGAAATTTTCAATTGATCCTGGACCTGAGCAGGCCATCTGTGGGAAGAGACTGCAAAACATTAAAATCCAGCCTCACCCAGGCAGCTTCCCCCAACACACACACACGCTACAAACCAGTGCTTACCTCTCGGAGCTTCTTAAAGACGAATGGGGTGCCCTGCCTCTGCCCTCTGTAGACGTCAGCAAAGGTCCCCTCGCTGATTTTGTGGGTTTGGTTGAAGTTGTCGGTTGCGTGAACTACGTCCACCTCGTTCCAGAAAAGGCTGTCCACAGCCAGGCTCAGGAGGGTTTCTTGCTTAGGAATGGAGGTGCTGACATCCTGGGGATTTAGAGAAGAGAAGGAGAGTAACATGAAATTAACATGGAAAATACTGTTTTCCCTACTACCCTGTTTCCCCGAAAATAAGACAGTGTCTTATATTAATTTTTTTCTCCCAAAGTTGCGCTACGTCTTATTTTCAGGGGATGTCTTATTTTCGGGGAAACACGGGTATGTCAGGGGTCTTAGAACAGCAGAGCTGAAGGGATGGAGGGGATCATCTTATCCAGTGAGGGGAAATGATAAAAAGGGACATGAGTCCTGCAGCTCAGTTGGAGTGCCTTCCTGGACACCAAAAGGTTGGGGGTTTGATTCCCGGTCAGGGCACATACTTAGGTTGTGGGTTCGATCCCGTCAGGAAGCATAGGGAAGGCAACTGATCAATGTTTCTCTCTCACAATGATATTTCTCTCTCTCTCTCTCTCTAAATCAACAAAAACATATTTTCAGGTGAGGATTTAAAAACAAAACAAAGGACATGAATAGGGCCAGCTCAAATCCAAGCTCAGGCACTACTTTGCTCTGTGACCTTGGATAAGTCACTTCACCTCTATGAACTCTAACTGCATCAGCAAAAATGAACATCACAACCATTGTAGCCTGGAGAGAAATGCTGGCGACTAACTGAAATGTGAGTATTACTAGCAAATGGTTGATGTTTGCTTTTTTTGTTTTTCAGTTTACAAAGGTAGCACCAAGGGGGTCAAAGAGCTGAGGTGGGATCGCACGGCTGGTTCCCTGGTCCTATACTGGGTACGTGTGCTGGGAAGCAGGATATAGGTTCACGTAACCAAAGACGCTTCTGGAATCAGAGCTTCAGGGCTGCTTGTGTGGGTAAGCCTATGAAAAGCAGCAGCTCTGCTTCAACACTTCCCTTCTTAAAAAGAGGTGTACAAAACGTACTTTAAAAAAAAACAAAAAACTTTTTATGCTCTTTTAAACAGTTTTAGAAAATTAGTGCTGGTGTGTGTGTGTGGGGGGGAATCCCATTACTCCCATTATTCACTTAACAGCTATTCAAGTGCAGTGAGTGTCTTGCAGACCAGATATATCAGATTTTATTTCACAAACTAGAATCCTGATGCACACGTTGTTTTGATAGTTGGTGTTTCCACTTACATTACACTATAATCATTCTCCCACGTTATCCTCTTTGGGCGGGATGAATTTTCAGAGAAAATGAAAACCGGGTTTAAGAGAGTCTCCTCTCTGGCACAGCTTCCCTAACCAGCCCTGCGGCGCTGGCTGCTTCAGCAGGCACCCTTTCAGGGGCCAGTGAATATGTTCTAATCTCTTGTAAAAATCAGAAGAACAACAACAAACTTTTAAAGTCAAAGAAAATGTTTCCATTTTTTTCAAAATATATTTTATTGATTTTATACAAAGAGGAAGGGAGAGAGATAGAGAGTCAGAAACATCGATGAGAGAGAGTCATTGATCAGTTGCCTCCTGCATACCCCCTACTGGGGATATGCCCGCAACCAAGGTACATGCCCTTGACCAGAATCGAACCTGGGACCCTTCAGTCCCCAAGCCGACGCTCTATCCATTGAGCCAAACCAGTCCTGGCAATGTTTCCATTTTTCACCTAGCTTGAATTATATTCACTTTTACATCAATGTAATTATAAAATAGAAATTATTTTAATGAAAGAAAGGGCCCGTGAAAGCACAGGTGCCTAAGACCCATGAAAGTCATATGTGGCCTGGACATATGTGGCCATTGAACATTTAGAACAACACAAACATATTTTGGGTTGAAAAAATAAACTAGGACAGAAGGCAGTCTGTAAGCAACTACTACTGCAACCAATATATGTATATATAAATGAGACCTGCCGATGATCAGGTCTCACTTATACACAAATAATGGAAAAGCTCATTAAAAATGTTTATGCACTAGTACAGGAACCCCAGCCCAGTTCTATGGACTGTCAGTACTTCCACCTGAGAGGCTCAGAGTCATTCCCCCCTCGTCACCCCACTCTAACCCCCAGATTGGTCTCGGGGAATAAATGCATTGCTGTTTTGAGAAAGATTGAGTGCCACAGACTGGGGCTATGGCTCTCAGATGGGGACTTACCTTTGGATCGGATGAAGCAGGAAGGTCTGTTTTTAAGGAAGCAGGGGCATCTTCGGGAGGAGGCGGGAGGCTGGCTCTGGCTGGAGCAGGCCCTGGAAAAAGGGGCTGTGGGTCAGACAGGGGCGCCCCTGAGGGAAGAGGGAGGGGTCCCTGTCAGTGCCCTGACCTAACCAGACTCTGACTGTTGCCAGTGATGACAGCTACCACTTCCTGACACCCCAGGCACCTAAGTGAGTCCTTATGACAGCCCTACGGCTTGGTCCCTGTTCAACAGGCGGAGGAACGGAGGCACTGGAGGTGGCCACTTGCCCAGGGCCACATGGTGCGGAGCAGAGCCAGCCTTCAAATGGAGTATCGTCCGTGTGACACCTAACCCCTGCGCTGTCACACCTCCCTCACAAGGATCCGAGGACACAGGAAAGTCAGCCACGAAGCCGGCCTTCCGGAATCCTCCCCCACGGCAGGCATGGCCGTGACGAGCCTCTGAGTCCGAGCAGGAGAGGCTGGGAGACCAAGGAGGGCTTCCCAGAGGAAGCAGCATGTGACCCGGGCTTGAGAGGAGGAAATGCTACGTGGATACGAGGCAGTGCAACTGGACCGGAGGGAGACACTGCAAACACCGACATCAGCGACGGCTCTGAGGCCTCCCTGTCTTAACTCCTTGAACCCTCACCACAGTCCCGGGAGGGAGGTGCGTTATCACCTGCTCTTTATCGGTGCTGGGAACGAGGCCTCTGCGTAACTGGGGCCCCTCCCAGGGAGACCTGGCCTTGACCCCAGGGAGGAGAGACATTCACCTGCTTCCCGTACTGCTGGTTGGCGATATCAGGGAAGGATGACTGATCTGGACTTTTGGCCGCAAAACAATGCGGAGGACTGAAGTGGGACCCGGTGAACCGGCAGGGAGCCGTGCTGAGCGATGGACCCGGCCCTGACACAGCTCCTCTGGCACAGAGCCTGCGCCCCCCCCCCCCCCCCCGCCCTGACACAGCTCCTCTGGCACAGAGCCTGCGCCCCCCCCCCCCCCCGCCCTGACACAGCTCCTCTGGCACAGAGCCTGCGCCCCCCCCCCCCTGCCCACAGGAGCCCCCTCCGCCCCTCCCCCGGGGCTGCGGCAGCCTCCAGAGCTGTCCGGGCTTTTCTTGTTTGTGTTTTCGTTTTCGTTTCCACACATTTGCCAGGTTTGGCCATACGTGAAAGAACTGCGCTTGAGAAGGCACCGTGTTTGCACACCCACCCTGCGTTCGAGAACCCCGAAACGGGACACCCTTCGCCTGTCGCATTCCTCCCTCTCCTGGATGTTGGCCCTGCCTCCGTGCCGCCTCACTGAGTGACTGGACGCTTTTCTTTCAATCCACTCTCATTCCCACACTGAGCGATGCATTTAGCCTTGGAATCCCTAGCTCTTGGTGCATGGGATCTGTATTTTCTCCGGCACCACGTTCCCGTGGGCCACTGGGTACAGGCTCCACACTCTGGGAACGGCTGCTCCAGCCCAACTCGACCTCCCGCCTGCTTCTGTCCCCTCCCGCTGACCTAGCTCCGCCTCTGAGGGACTACACACATAGTCCGTGTCCTCTTCCTGTGGCTCCAAGGTCAGCGCTGGCCTCACACAGCCAGAATTTTCTGGTCTGACCTGATGCCTGGGGCTCCCTGGGGGGCTGCACCAGGTCTCTTGGGTTGGGGGGAGCACTGAGGTCCCCTCTCGTGACCTCTGAGGGCCACTCGTTGGAGGAGGGGCTGAGTCTACTCAGCCCTCTGGTTTTGTCAGTGAACAGGAATGGGATCTGGGCCGCTCCCACAAGGATGCCACCAGGTACGGACTAGCCTTTGCTTTGTAAACGCTCTCGGAAGGACCGGTTCAGGGAGGACACGGGGTTACATAAATGTCATTTCAAAAACACTAAGCGTTAACCCTTCATATGACAACACCTTTACCCCCCCTCAAAAAAACACACAAACATTTCCTATGAAAATCTTCCTAGACTGCCTGCTTTCCCAGGCCGAATGCAGCACACCCACCGGGCTCCGGGGCACCACTGTGGGCCTGAGCACAGAACACAGGGCAGCGCCGGCACGTGGGGTCTCTGTCCCCGCCCTGGGGCTGGCATGGGCCTGCCTCGGCAGCCTCCCTGTCTCTTTTCTGTTCGTCACACAGAACTGGGCTCACGTCCTGGCTCTGACATTGCGAACGAGAGGAACCGGGTGAGTTGTGCCTCACTTCTCCAACTTCCTCAAACGTAAAAAGAGCACTAACAGACCATTCCTTACGGAGTGCTTGTCCAGATTAAGAGATATGACGGTTTTAAAGCAGGGAGATCAGTCTCTGCCGGCTGTGTATGCCTGGAGCACCAAGGCTGGCAGAACCGTGTAGAAGGAGAGTAAACAGATTCTTACTGACAGCCCAATGGCCTGGCCCACGGCAAAGGCTTTTTGAGGTATTTCGGCTGTTCCGAGCCCTTTTATCTGGACTCTGGCTTTGAGAATGTGTTTAACAAGGTGCTCAGAGTCTGTCTGTGGCTCACCTACTCAAGTCTTTTCCTCTTCCACATCCCTCCCCACTTCCTCCTCACCTACTGCACGGGGGTCGGTGTACACAGGGGTAAGACATGGGCTCTGGCCGTGGACAGTGTGGCTCAGATAGTTAGAGTGTCTTCCTAGGCAGGTTTGATCCCCTGGTTGAGGCATGTGTGGGAGCCAACCAATTGCTCGTGTTTTCAATCTCTCTCTCTCTCTCTCTCTCTCTCTCTCTCTCTCTCTTCCTCTCTCTAAAATATCAAATGTTTTCTAAATTAAAAAAAAAGTGGGCTGGGCAACTCACCTGCACTGAATCCCAACCCCACCACTCAGCCAGCCAGGAGCCTCTGGCAGGCTCTGCATCCTTCCCCAGTTATCAACAGAGGCCTCAGCCCCCTGGCGGTCAGTGTGGCTCACCAGGCAGCACCCATGACCTCCAGCAGGCAGTCTTTGTTCCCACTTATCATTCCCTCCCAGCCGTCGCTGCCTCTTATAGGAATTATCTCCATTCCTACAAGGTAACCAGCCCAAAGTGTGGGGCCCAAAAGAAGACTGGGGCTGACGAAACCGGTTTGGCTCAGTGGTAGAGCATCGGTCTGCGGACTGAAAGGTCCCAGGTTCGATTCCGGTCAGGGGCATGTACGTTGGTTGTGGGCACATCCCCGGTAGGGGGTGTGCAAGAGGCAGCTGGTCGATGTTTCTCTCTCATCGACGTTTCTAACTCTCTATCTCTCACCCTTCTTTTCTGTAAAAAATCAATGAAATATATTAAAAAAAAAAAAAAAAAAAAAGAAGAAGAAGAAGAAGAAGACTGGGGCTTTCCCAAGAGAGGACAAGCTTTGGGGTATCTGATGTGATGAGTGATTACTCACTTATTTTCAGTTTGCGCAAAAATAAACAATCAACTTCCTTCCTGTCTATAGATTGTATTTATCATCTCGACCTGCCAGGGCACATGTGCTTCTGAGAGGCACTCAGGAAATGGAAGGGGGCAGAAGCTGGCAGACACGTGTGCTGCTTGTTTTTGCAGTCACCCAGACAAGGAACAACAGAGGCGGCTACACCTGTGACCTCCCATCCTGACCAGCACTCCCCTAGAATTCCCTTATGTTATTACTATGTTTCCCGTTGACCATCAACAAGTATCACATTTGCTTTATGACTATTTCCCCTTATCTTTAATTGCTGATCAAAGTTCTGCCCTTTTTTTTTTTTTTTTTTCTTTAGCTACAGGAAATAACTCAGACTCCTTGGCCTAGAATTAATTTTCCAGACTTGAACTATCTGGGGTGTCTGGAATGTTCCTAACATCAGCGAACACTTTAAAAAAATTTTTTTTTTAGCCCTAGCCAGTTTGACTTAATGGAAAAAATGTTGGCTTGCAGCCTGAAAGGCCCTGGGTGCGATTCCAGTCCAGGGCATGCATCTCGGTTGCAGGCTCCTTCCCGGCCCAGGCCCCGTCAGGGGCTCCTGCAGGAGGCAACCACTCAATGTGTTTCTCTCACATCAACATTCCTCTCTGTCTTTCCCTCTCTCTGCCACTCTCTCTAAAAATCAATAGAAAAATGTCCTCAGGTGAGGAATAACAAAAAATAATAATTAATTAATTAATTAATTAATTTAAAAATTTTAAAATTGATTTTTAGAGAGAAGGGAGAGGGAGAAACATGAATATGATCAGTTGCCTCCTACACGCCCCCTACCAGGGATGGAGCCCACAACCCAGGCCTGTGCCCTGACCAGGAATCAAACCGGTAACTGACTGTGCACTGGATGAGCCCAAATGAGCTACACCAGCCATCAGCTAATATTTAATGAGCAAACCTGTGGTGTACGACTCCTTACCACGACATGATGATGTAGGAACTATTATTATGCCCATGTTATAGAAGACAAAACTGAGGCACTGAGAGGCTAAATAATTCTGTTAGAAAGTGGCAAAGTTGGGATTCAAATGCGGGTCTGTCTAATGCAAAAGCCTATGCATGCTCCTCAGTCCATGCTGACCGTGGCTTCAGCATCCACATTAGTGAACCGAGGTTCCACGGGTTTGGGCTCTTTGGCTCACATGCAGGAGGCTGCGGGAGAAAGGGAGGGAGGCTGGGCTCCAGGGGAGAGATGGTGAATATGGAGATGTGGGCGTGCGAGGCAGTGCCCCTCAGGGAAAGTACAGCTGGCTGAGTCCTGCCACCATGGGGTCAACCGTCCCTGGGCCCTTTCCTGGACTTTTTCCTCTTTAGCTACAGGAAATAACTCAGAATGGAGACAAGTCGGAAGTGGTTTGAAAGGCCTGGGATAGCAGTGTGGGCAGAGGTTAGGGACATAAGCGTTCAAACGACACTGCTCAGATGCCACTTCCTAGTCATGTGACCTTGAGCAAATCACTTTCCTCTCGGTGCTTCAGGTGCCACAGAGCAAAGCAAAGGACCTGTGACTGGCAAAGAGGACCCGGGGGCGGGCATGTAGCACCCCACCACATGGCTGTGAAGGCCAGGCCCTGGGCCTGTGGAAAACAGACAGCGAAGTCTCTAGGCCCCTGAGCCTGGAGCTGGCATGCAGGGCCAGTCTGTGTTGGGGGCGTGGGAAACCACAGGTAAAGTACCTGGGCCCCATGCCGGGCTGTTTAACTCTCTGCACTCACAGCTTCTCATCGGTGAGATGGAGATGATCACCAGGCTCACAGCTAAGTAGGGTTAAATCAGTTAACATCACTGAAGTGCTTAGAACAGTGTCTGGCACAGAGCCCTCATTCACTGAGTTCTCTCTTTCTTTCCTTAAAAATAATTTTAAAAAAATGGCATATTCTTTTACTGACTTTTTTTAACTTAATATATTGTAAGCATGTTTCCATGAATGCATACATATCCGGATCATTGTTAACAGTATTATTGTGCTAATAATGTTAACAGTATTATGTTAGGCTAACCTGTCATTAATGTTACCATTCCACTGTCTTTCTAATTTTTTGCCGTTAAATACTGAGCTGAACATCCTTATAGATAAATCATTTCCTTATGTATTCTTTAAATTAAAAAATGTAACTTAATTAAGAATACCTGGGCCCGGCAAGGCTGCTGGCCCCACGAGCTGCCCCATCTTCTGTTCGTCCTCCGTGTTCCTTACGGACGCTGCCCAGGGCCTTGTTGGCTTCTCGGCTCCCGGGAAGTCTGGGGCAGAAGGCCTGATTTCAGGCACTGGCTTCCCTGAAACAAGGTGGAATGGGAGAAAGGTGTTGTTATTCTGTGAAGTGGAGCAGCCCCCCGGAGGCGGGTCTGGTCCCGGTGCTGCCTCGAAAGCACCGTGTTCCCAGCGCGCTCTCGCCCTCGGAGCCTGGGACTGTCCGTGAAGTGCAGTGGCGGGTCAGGGCAATCTCCTGTGATGGCTCCAGCCTTGACACACTGAGTCAGAACACCTGCTTTCTAGTCCTCCCAGTGGGGCCTGGCCAGGTGGCCCCGTTGGTTGGAATGTCATCCTCTACACCACAAGGTTTCGGGCTCGAATCCCGGTCAGGGCACACACCAAGGTTTTGGGTTTGATCCCCAGTCAGGGTGCATTCCAGAGCATTCTAGAGGCAACTCATTGATGTTTCTCTCCCACATCAATGTTTCTCTTTCTTTCTCACTTTCTCTTTCTCTTTTTCTCTCTCTCGCCCTTCCTTTCTCTAAAATAAATAAACATATCCTCAGGTGAGGATTTAAAAAAAAAAAAAATGTAATCCTACTAGTTGTGTGACCTTAGACAAATCACTTTCTTTTTAAAAAAAAATATGTTTAGCCGAGACTGGTTTGGCTCAGTGGATAGAGCGTCGGCCTGCGGACTGAAAGGTCCCAGGTTCGTTTCCGGTCAAGGGCCAAGGGCATGTACCTTGGTTGCGGGCACATCCCCAGTAGGGGGTGTGCAGGAGGCAGCTGGTCGGTGACTCTCTCTCATTGATGTTTCTAACTCTCTATCCCTCTCTCTTCCCCTCTGTAAAAAATCAATAAAATATATTTTAAAATAAATAAATAAATAAATAAATAAATAAATAAAATGTGTTTATATTGATTTTTAGAGAGAGAGGAAGGGACAGAAAGAGGGGAAAGATAAAAGCATCGATCGGCTGCCTCCGGCATGCCCCCTACTGGGGATCAAGCCTGAAACCGGAACATTTGCTCAGACTAGGAATTGAACCAGCAACTTCTTGGGGCATGGGTAGATGCTCAACCACTAAGCAACACTGGCCGAGCCAAAAGTCACTTGCATTCCAAGGGCCTGTTTCCTCACCTATAAAAGGAAGATCATGTTAATATCTGCTTGCCTACCACATAGGCTGCTGGGAGGGAAATATGAGAACTCAGGCTGAAAGGGCTCTAGAGCCCAGCTGGTGTGGCTCAGTGGTTGAACATCGGCCTATGAACCATGAGGTAGCAGTTCAATTCCCGGTCAGGGCACATACCCAGGCTTTGGGCTCCATGCCAGTAGGGGGCACGTAGGAGACAGCTGATCAATGATTCTCTCTTATCATTGACATTTCTCTCCCTCCCTTCCTCTCTCTGAAATCAATAAAAACATATTTGAAAGAAAAATGCAAGGTCTCTATAAATTATGCATTTCCCTGAACACATGGGCTAGTTAAAGCTATCCATCCTGCTAAGTCCCCAGTTGAGCCCCTGGACATAAAAGTTCTGGCCAGTCCTACAGCTTCCCCTTCCACAAGCAGTGGAAACATGTGCATCCTTCCCTGTTTTACAGATGGGGACTCTGAAAATAGCAGCTACGTCAACTGAGCACCAACACTGCCTGGCTCTGCACGCATCAAATCTTCACAAGGATTTCCCACTTTGTCCCAGTTAAAGATGAGGAAACTGAGGCCTGGGCAGGTTAAGTGACTTCCTCAAGGTCACATCGCTGGGCAGACAGGGTTGGCCGAAGGAGCCTGGGTGGAGGCCACCTGCCTTCTGTGATCACTTCCCCTTTGCATCAGCTTGGGAAACCCCAAGGTACTGTCAGGGTGTCTACCCTGGCTCCCACCCAGCTTCTCGGGGCCGACTCTGTGTCAGGCAGCTTCCTTCATCGCTGCCCTTGTGTCCTCTCTCCCCACAGCCACTGCCTCCAGCTCGGAGGCCCTCGGATCCCTCCCAGGCTACGTCTCACTAACATACAGATCTGGCCTCATCACTCTGCTGCTTGAAGCCTTTATGACCCCATCATCTGGATAAAGAATATACTCTTCACCTGACTCCGGATATCTCCCCATTGCCTCTGAGCAAATCCAAACTCTGCAGCCCTGCACGCATGGCCCCTCACTCTCTGGTGGTTTGCAGTCGACCCATGTTTGAGAACCACAAAAATGGGGGCACCCAAGTCCCAGGGAAGGCTTCTGCCTTGTTACCTCTCACACCTGCATCACCAGGTGCAGCTGAGACAGTCCCCCTCCAGCCTTTGACCCCAGGAGCATTCATTCCAACAGGTAAACTGCCTCTAAACAAAACTGGTTGTTACCATGGAGCCAAAGCTCTTCGAACACAAGCTTTGGGACTAGAACAATATTTTTAAAAATATATATTTTATTGATTTTTTTACAGAGAGAAAGGGATAGAGAGCTAGAAACATTGATAAGAGAGAAACACTGACCAGCTACCTCCTGCACGCCCCCTACCAGGGATGTGCCCACAACCAAGGTACATGCCCTTGACTGGAATCGAACCTGGGACCCTTCAGTCCGCAGGCCGACGCTCTGTCCACTGAGCCAAGCCGGTTTCGGCAAGGGACTAGAACAATATTAATGATGCCTAAATGCGTGGCACTACACTTGTATGGCACCAAACAGATTTATTGGACGGTCATGATGATCTAGGCTGGTTAACAATTATCTGCATTTTTTTTTTTTCTGAGCACATGGAGGCTCTCAGAGGCAAAATTATTTTTCCCTGAATCAAACAGCTGATAAGATTCAAACCTAGGACTGGTTTCACTGACCCCTCTCATCGGTTTGGACAGAATTACTCAGATACCAAGGTCATTACCATCACCTGCAGATGGCACTGCCCGGGACCCCCACCTGCTCCAAAAGGCAGGAAAACTGGGCAGGAGCTGAAGAAAGGCTCGAGGGAATGCATAGAAGGAACAGGAAGGCTGAATGGGGGAGAAAACATGACTTTTTCTTTGACTGTCACTGATAAAGTATTCATTTAAATAAAACTCTCTTATAAAAAAAGTAGCAGAGCTTAGCTGTTTAGAATTCAGGCCCTGGGTTGGAAACCAACCAGTTTCATCCATTCCCAGTTATATTGACTCTGGTCGACTTTCCCCAGAACTCAGAGAAAACACAGCATGTCAATGGCTTAGCTCAAAACTCAGGAACTTCTTCAAAACACTGGTTAGCTCTCCTACAGCCCACATGGTGAGCATAAAGAGTAGGGTGGGAGTCTTCATTTTCATCTAAATTGTTTCACCCTTTTTTTCAGTGTTAGTATACTTACTTTTCAATTATGGTAAAATACACATAACATAGATTTACCATCATAACCATTTTTAAGTGTTGAGTTCAGTGGCATTAAGTACATTCACGTTGCTGTGAAACTACCACCACCACCATCCATCTCCAGAAATTCTGTCCACATCAAACACTAACTCCCCATTCCCCCTCCCACAGCCCCTGGCAACAACACCCTACTTTCTGTCTCTATGTATTTTACTACTCATTTAAAAAAATTTTTTTTTGCCGAAACCGGTTTGGCTCAGTGGACAGAGCATCAGCCTGCAGACTGAAGGATCCCAGGTTCGATTCCGGTCAAGGGCATGTACCAGTAGGGGGTGTGCAGGAGGCAGCTGGTCGATGTTTCTCTCTCATCGATATTTCTAGCTCTCTATCCCTCTCCCTTCCTCTCTGTGGAAAATCAATAAAATATATATATATTTTAAATTATTATTATTTTTAGTAAATGAGCTTCTATTTTATTTTATTCACCATAAAACACTTGCACCTCTTCCTCCATGGGTTCTACAGGTTCTTAAGTAAAACAGTTCATTAACCCAATTACCAAGATAGCCATCGAGGGCATCGGAAACTACATCCTTCGAGGCTGTCTCATACACCACATGTGGGAGGCATTACAGAGAACTCCGTCCAGCTTGAACAACCAGTCTGTCTGCTGGTTATTGACAACTCCTGAGGATCTCTTCCTTTTTTGTTTAATCATCGCCTGAGGATATATTTTTATTGATTTTATTTTTTTAAATACATTTTATTGATTTTTTACAGAGAGGAAGAGAGAGGGAGACAGAGTTAGAAACATCGATGAGAGAGAATCATCGATCAGCTGCCTCCTGCACACCTCCTACTGGGGATGTGCCCGCAACCGAAATCAAGCCTGGGACCTTTCAGTCGGCAGCAGGCCGATGCTCTATTCAATGAGCCAAATAGGTTAGGGCTATTTTTATTGACTTTAGAGAGGAAGGTAGAGGGGGGGAGAAAGAGAGAGAAACATCGATGTGAGACAGAAACACTGGCTGCCTCCAGCATGAGCCCCAACTGGGGATCAAACCTGAAACCCGTATGTGCCTTGACTGGGAATCGAACCTGAGACCTTTCAATAAATGGGACAACGCTCCAACCAACTGATTCACACCTGCCAGGGCTCTGAGTATCTTCTTTTAAGTGAATATTAATGGTTTTGTTTCCATCTACGACGTAACTGGTTATTCCTGAGCAAAGATATCGATGGGTTTGACAAGGACAAACGCATGAACTTTCTTCCTAATGCCTACTCTGGTAGCATAATGCTTCTTGCCATTCTTACGCCACATCATTTGAGTGGGTTTCAGCTCCCAAGTTAGGTTACAAGCTGCCTGAGGGATAGCACTGTGCCTTTTATCTCTTTTGAATCCACCCCAGTGTCCAGAATGACGCCCAGCACAGAGCAGGGGCTCCAGGACTGGGGGTGACGGTCTTTGTAGGGAGTCAGAGAGTGGCTGAATCTCCTTCGGTGATTCTGTCTTCCGTCACCACCAGCGTGCCGGCCCGCATGGAGTCTGGGAGGCAGAGGCCTTAGGACCTGTCCTTTTTAAAAATATATATTTTGTTGGTTTCTTACAGAGAGGAAGAGAGAGAGATAGTTAGAAACACCGATGAGAGAGAGTCATCAATCAGCTGCCTCTTGCACGTCCCCCACTGGGGATGTGCCTGCAACCAAGGTATATGCCCTTGACCGGAATCAAACCT